ATTTTATGTATTTTGTGTTTTCAAAATCAACCTTAAATACCATGTGCTACTTTTATAAGACATAAACTTTATGCACTAGTTTTATTTTCACTCAATACACAGATGCAGAACTGGTAGAGGTAATAGACTTAGTATTAATGTTATCTTTCCAATGAGGTGACACATTGGAGGTGTCACATGAACTGTTGAGATCAGTTAAGATCAAAGAAGTAAGTCTTAGAATGTCTTGGAAAATAGACATGGAGACATATGGAAGGTGTTACTAAGAACTTTATTAGGTTAACACCTTCCCATAAGATTCAGTGACATAACAGTCTTATGTGAAGTTTGACTCTGTTTTTACTAATATTAGCATCTAAAATTGATTAAGAATCTGGTATGTGCCATGCATTATACTTTTCATTCATCATCTTATCACAGAAAATCATAAAGATAGATACTATTAATATTTCCACTTGCAGACCAGAAATGAATACTAAAAATGGTTACATAACTTGTCTACATATCACAAAAATACGAAGTGATAGAGCTGAACAAGCTGAACTTCAGGGTTAAAGTTGGTTCCTTTCTCTAAGACATACTGCATCTTCAAGATCATACTGATTATGCACAGATGGATAAAGAGAAGATGTACATCAATATCAGTTTCTATACACAGAATGCAAAGTCCACATTGCCCATATTTCCAGTTATCCAAATCTGCTTTCCAGTTTTCACTGACACAATCACACGGGTCAGTTGTATTTAATGATATTTGTTGACTCAGCACACTGTCTCTTGTTGACTTTCATTCTATCCAGCTTTCATCTCAGCCAGAGCCTGTTTAAACTAGGGCACTATTTCTTCTCTCAATCCAAGGACTACATGAATAACAAATACATGAAAATGAACACAATCCTTTTCTGGACCCAAAGAAAAACTTGACTTGGATATTAACTTCTTGATGAGAAGGACGTGACATTACTTTTCGTTTGTATTTTACGGTCTCTCGCATATGGCCATTGACTTCCAAGTTTTGATTGATTATTTTTTGATTGACATGACCCAATGATTGAGTACATAAAGAAACAAGGTGTATTTGCTCCTTTCTATTTTAGTAAAATTAGGGCTCTGACTTGGAAAATATTCGTGTTTCTCTTAACATTATGAATGCAGTATTTTTTTAGTATAACAAAACACTCTGGGGTTGGTTTAAACTTTTTAACCTTCTCTTCCAAGCCTTAAATATCCTTGTTTTACTTGCTTCATGATCCAAACTGTACGCATGGTATGCTGCCATATAATTCCAACTCTTTTACTCTCTAGTTCTTTAGCTATACTGACCCTGGAAAGTGCCAATCCTGAATTAATCCAGCCATCTGTCCTCACTACCCTATGTTCACATAGCACTGCTGGGTATAGTGCAGCAAATGTTCAGGTCAGGGGCATTATAAAGAAAGCTGCAGTTCCTAGCCCCAGCTGGGTCCTCAGCATGGCCCACGTGATCCTCTCATCTTCCTGAATACAGCCACTCCCTTCAGGCCCCCTTTCCACCCCTCACTTGTTACACTTCTTCAATGACATCAGGTTTCATTTCACTGAGAAGCTGCCTACTTCATTTACCTTTGGAAATAAAGTAGAGTTTAAAGAGATCTTGAAATTTCTGCTCCTTCCTTCTTTTCTTTAAGGTCAATAATATTTGAAGCAACTCTGTTTACTCAAACATGCAATGAATAACTCTTTCAATGCACGTCAATATAAAATATTCATCCAGGACTGTGTGTCCTGGATTTCAATGACAGCTGTGTCAGTCCTGACTTAGTCATATGTCAAATCTGTGAATCCTATCCTTATATACATATAATTTAAAGGACGAGGTTATTCAAATCTATCTAAAGATAACATCATTTACACTCAAACACTTCAAGGTTTTGTAGTAAGTGGAGTATTTTGAAAGTAAGACATTTGACAGTTCTTTGTGCATATTAAGCAAATCCAGAGCTGCTTACATGAACTCTTATACTCCTGCAGAATCTAACATCGCACCATACATTTCATACTCCCTGATAAAGCATTAAGTGTTACTGATGTATATGGTTAAGCCAGTTATCCAGTGAAACATTGGCTACTTTCATAAATGACAGCTTGTAAAATTCTACTACTTGGGTTATGGCATTGAATTCATCGCTGAAAATATCACTAGTTGAAATGATTCAGAAAGACAATTTTTCCCATTTGGGCATCAGTAGTCTCAATTAAACTAAAATGAAAACTATGAACAATTAATTCTACAAAGTTGGATATTAATTTTTATCAAAAAATAATGTGCAGAAAGTCAGAAAAGAATCCCCTGAATACTTTTGTATTATTTTAAATATGTCAATTTTTTAGGTAATACATATTGTGCAATTTCCTTTATTCATCATGATAAAGGACTTAGGAAGAAGTATATTATCTAAAAAACTCTTTTTGTTATTACTATCTGCCAAGAATAGGGAAAACAGTAGCTTTCTATAAATAGTAGAAATAGTTTGGGTGGGCCATTTTTATTAGTTTCAGTAGTATAATGGCCAGCGCTGTGGCTCATGCCTGTAATCCTAGCACTTTGGGAGGCTGAGGTGGGCAGATCACGAGGTCAGGAGATGGAGACCATCCTGGCCAACATGGTGAAACCCTGTCTCTACTAAAAATACAAAAATTAGCTGGGCGTGGTGGCATGCGCCTGTAGTCCCAGGTATTTGGGAGACTGAGGCAAATGATCGCTTGAACCTGGGAGGAGGAGGTTGCAGTGAGCCGAGACCGCACCACAGCACTGAGGCCTGGAGACAGAACGAGACTCTGTCTCAAATAATAATAAAAATGATAGTAATAATATTTTATTGTGGCTCTTTTCTCCCAATGTATTCCTCACCCTTCAACATTTAGAATTTTAAGGACTGTACTTTCATGGTATTATTTATTCTCAGAACTGGTATATGTAGTAAATAAATGTTTGTTCTCCTAGACATGGTGTTTTAGCTAAGGGTGATGTTAAACTCATACCAATTTAGATTTTATGGTACAACAGACTGAGAAAAAAATTGTTTTAAATTTTTGATTTTAAAACCTAATTCTAGTAGTAAGTAAATTATAAGAAATGAAATTGGATGAATGAACTGGTTAGTTTATTTAAAAGTCAGGATGTTTGGCTTTGTTATCTCGATGCCACTATATTTCAATGTTTTCAAACTAGAGATAGTGTGCATTTGAATTAAGGGCTTTATTTGTAAAGTTTGGAAATGAAAATCAATTCTTTCTAGCATATAATTTAAGATTTATTCAGATAGAGAGGTTTTGGGGGTTGTGTGTGTGTGCAACAAATCCTTATTTGAATCATCAAAATCAATTGTCCTGCTCTTTATAAGACTGTATTTTAGTATGTAACCCTATCATTTTTATGTAACTGCATGGTTTAGAAATATACAAATAAGACTTAGGACGACCCATACATTCAAACATCCAAGTGGGGCCTTACCGGACATCCGTTGTTTGATCAGGAAGTATTAAAATAATCTGAAGCCAATGTTAAGTCCTTCTAACTATTATTAGCTGTTTGAAAAGATCTGGAGTCTCTTTTATCTGTAGATGCCTTAAAGTATTCATTAGAAATTAAATGTTTAAATACATTTGAAGATACCATTATACTCAAGTAAAATGGAAAAAGAGAAGCAACAAAATTAAACAAAAAAATCTGTGAAACTGGATTGTTTGTGAAGAAACCCATATCTTATTTGCATGTGAACCTTGACCGTATGGCTCCAGAATTTTTAGTGAACCACAAAATCTAAAGATACGTTTTGCATCTATATATAGATACCACCTTCATTTATCTACACAATACAGACTGTTTCAGAGCTTTGATTAATGTAAAGAGAAAATGATTATTTGGAACGTGTCCTAAAGCAAAAAAACTCTTTTTACTCTATTGTATAACATTTAATTTGAAAATTCTTTACCACAAAATCTAAAGATACGTTTTGCATCTATATGCAGATACCACCTTCATTACCTACACAATACAAACCGTTTCAGTGCTTTGATTAATATAAAGGGAAAATGATTAATGTGAACATGTCCTAAAGCAAAAAACTCTTTTAACTCTGTGGTATAACATTTAATTTGAAAACTCTTTTATTGATACCACTCGATCTGCTTTCTCATGTCTTTTTTAAAAAAGATTTCAATGATGCCCTTAGTCACTTTGTAAATCACATTTTCCAGTCTTCCTGATTTAAAATACGCTAGTCCCAGTTTCATAATACACTGGCCAGAAACTGTATCACTGGACATTCTTGCTACTGCAACAGGTGTTTGTCAGTTTCTTAAGTTGCTTTCCTTTCCCCTGAGGTGGTGTTATTTCCGGTACATTCCAAAGGCTCTGAAAAAAACTTTTGCCATCTCTTGCCAAGCCAAATCATGACTCCAGCCTCAAAGTTATTTAGAATCCATTGTCTTCCGGGTTTACTACACAGGCAAATTGTGTATGTGTTTCTGTATTTCCAATTTTTAGCAACTAAAATATTTATTAAGTGTTCGGCAAAGCTAAAACTGAAAATAAAAGTGATTTTCATTCAGAAGCCAATGCTCTGGATATCTGAGAAGGGGGTTGATTCAATTCCTGGCAAACCTGATGCGAAAAGGTTTTCATCATCCACTTAGACCACCCTGAAATTTGACATACGCATAAACAAAATAGACCTTGATAACTTGCAGTGTACATGCTTACGTTTTGCCTTAGAAGTCAGAGCTCTGCATGCACTATGTGGCTAAGCCTTTTATTGCAGAACTTCGGAAGAAAATGTTGGTAGAGAAGAGATCACAACCAATTGCTTATGTATATAGTTTCCTGCCTCATCCTACATCTCACCCTTCTTCAAGTAAAACTGAAGCCCACCATACTATAAATCAGTGGTGGACATATCTCGTACACACACTCTACAACCATGACAAGGCAACAAGAAGACACGATTGCTCAAACCAACCTTTTGGAAGTTTCTCAGTTCCGCTGAAGGCAACCAGAGTAAGAATGTGTACCAGTGGAATGTTGACGAGCTCTCTCATGATTAATCCAGGCTCACGCAGGACAAAGTTCCTTCTGGACAACGCAAGGAAAATGCCTCCACGGTTTACATTTTAAAGCATACTTTGTTGCAAAAGAGTCGTCTGCTAATGACTGTTTGTGTCAGCAGCTCCACAGGCTCTAAGTATAATCAGGAATTCTCAGACTTGGCTGCAATGATGGACACAGCCAGCTGGTGAGTATCCACGTAGGCCAGTAACGCAAGTGTAGGGCTAGAGGAACAAGGGCAAGAAAATCCTTTTAGAATCCCTTTTAAGACAGTGGCAGAAGGACAATACCAGATGCCTTTTGCAACCATCACTGTATTCCCAGAGGTATAGGTGTCCTGGCCTTTGGATTCAGCAGCCCACTCTCCTGGACTCAAACCAGAAATCTGGGTTTATTTAGTCTTCACTCCTCCCCATCTCTCACCCCACCCCCACTCCCACATTCAGCCCATTCCAATTCCTACAGATTTTATCAACCAAATAGTCCTTGTAACTTCTCTCTGTCTTGGGTCTTAACCATTCTCTATCTTTTTTCAGATAGTCCCTCCTGCTCAGAAGCTTTTAGGGGCTCATCATCACGTAAAACTATGTTTAAACCTGCCTAATCTGCCGAATATGACAGGCTTTACTGGAATCTGCATGCTTTGTTGTATGTTAGTATTATTACAATTCTTTTTTTTTTTTTT